AATCTTATCATGAATAACAACAGATATACCTTTCGGTCTTTGTACTTTCTATCGAAATATTTAATGGGAACGCAGCTTAAATTAGGCACATAAAATCCAAATAAAGTATACCATAATTAACTTCGCGTATAGGTAAAGTTATACGAGTAATGGGCCGAAAATGGTAAAGAAAATTTTTTGCATATCTTCACGTTTCAGTGGTTTCTGAACATTTCGGCCTACCATGTGTGTGAGTGTGGTGTATGTGTGTGTTGTGTGTGTTGTGGAGACAATTTTTCGTCGACGATTTTGGGCGTACGGATGGACCGGATTTGAAAAATTCTAAAAGCAATCTATTCCTATTGGCAGGGTGATGTGCTGATTAATTTTTGAGAGGACAGATCCAGTGGCTTCGGAGATATGGAGCATGAAGTTGCTAAAAATGTCAGTTTTTTTAAGAAAACGGATCAACGAATTTAAATGATCTAAAAAAACGTCCGATTCTTAATGATGAGAAATGGTGATTAGATTTTTGGCAAAGGCTGGTCGAGCCGTTTCGGAGATATAGATCTGAATGTGCAAAAAATGGCAGTTTTTGAGAGAACTAAGCATCCGATTTGAATGATTTAAAAAACTTTCTGCTTGTGTTGAAAAATAATTGCTTTTGGGAAAAGAATTGTTTATATATATTTTTTTTAATACTCAAAAAATTTTTTTTTAATATCGGAAAATAGTTCGGATTTTAATTCCAATTTTATCTAAAGTTCTGAACATCACTTAATACTTCAAATAAATGATTTTAACTTTGCAATTCAGTTTATATAATATACTTAGAAGTATTAGACAATGTCCTTTATTTTAAACCCAATTGATTAAGTTTTGTTCATTTACTTTTTATAAAATAAGAAGAATTAAAGTTACATTCAATATTCCTCGAATATTTATAATAATATTTTCTTATTAAGTTCCAGCAATTTGCTTTAGGATACGATGCCAAACACCACTAGTATTTTTAAACAAAATTTTTTGGTAACCTGCCTTTAGTTATTTAACCGAAGGAGAAGTTTAATTTTTTGCTAGAATACAACGTTCTAATTTTATGTTTCATCGACGTTTCAAGTCAATCTGAATCATTTGAAACACACATCGTGTGTGTGTGTGTGTATGTGCGTGTGTGTGCTTGTGTGATTTCAAAAGCCATTTGAAAAAGCTCGATAAGGAGAAACGTTTTTTAGCTTGCAAGACGCTTTGCAAAACTTTTCCACCGTTTTCCAATTTCTCAGCCGATTTTGAACATTTGAATAACTTTTCGAAAGTAAGCTGTTTAGAATCGGGCTGATCAGTTTTTGGTTTTCGTCACGATTTTTTAAAATCTTATCTTAATATTAACCTCCGTTGTCAATAAAAATGCTCTGAGATAATTTATGTTAAGATTCATATTTTTTTTAACCAAAATGGCACATAGATGTCGCAATTTGTTTTGTATTTTTGTAGTTAAAATTAGTATTACTTAGACATTAAAATGCAAATTGGAAATCAGGCGTTTCAATATTTGATTTAGTTATATATGTTCAAAATATGAAGCAGTATGTTTTATATTTGGATACTTTTCTTTGTAACATACACATCACACACACAGATATATATATATATATATATATATATATATATATATATATATAATCGATATATATTTATATATATGCAGGTAAAAACCAAAAACTATATATATATATATATTTATATATATATATATATATATATATATGCAGGTAAAAATCAAAAACTTAAATTTGCAATTTCTCAAATGTGATTCCGCATATTATATCTTCAAGCTGAAAGTACTATGATACACAATAACATGCTTTAAAATTGAAAAAATAGCTAATTTAAATTATATATTTTCAAAAATGATAATAAATATGACAATTTTCACATTTTTACATTGAATTTGAATTTGCTCAATAAATCTACATTTTGGGTTACGCATTCAACGTTCTCGGGGTAGTCGCATATTCATTTTTGTCTTCATAAAAGTCCTGGTTTGCATTTGTGTAGAACTTTTTGTTCCTCTGAAGCATTGAAAAAGTAGAGCATCAGCTGGTTGGGCAAGAGGACATCTACTGGCCCCGTCAACAGCTGGGCAACCATTTTCTTCTGGTTTGTGAGTCGGTTGAGGTTTTCCAGTGGCAGTTTCTCCCACATCTACATTTCCTGGCTGATCACAATATTTCATTGCGTCGTTCCACAAAAGATTACCCCCGCAAGCCTTAGATACAGCGTATCCTTTAGCGCAAATGTAGTATTTGGAGCAGTTTTCAGGATCTGCCAAGAAAACGCCATCTAAGCCAGAGCAAAGTGATTCTGGAGCTGGGTGAGGGTTTGGCCTGCTACCGCAATCTACATTGTATGGGAAGTCGCACCACTTGTTTTCGTCTTTCCACAAGTAGTCGTTTGGACAAGTTAGAGATTTTGCTGTTCCATTTACACATTGATAATATTTGCTGCAGTTTTTGTAGTCTTCGTGGTATGATCCATTTGGTTGATCCTTGCAGATTTCGTCGCTTTCAACATGGGGTTTCTCGACTGCTGCATCACCACAATCTACATTTTGTGGGAAGTCACAGTATTTCAAAGCATCATTCCATAAGAGACTTCCACCACAAGATTTCTGTACGGCGTAACCTTTGGCGCATACATAATATCTTGCGCATACCTTAGGGTCAGCTAAGAAAACTCCATCAAGACCAGTACATAGGGATTCGGGTGCTGGGTGAGGATTTGGTCTGTCACCACATTCGACATTATATGGAAAATCGCACCATTTATTTTCATCTTTCCATAGTAGTCATTTGGGCAGGTCAAGGAAACTCCTTTGCCATTAACGCATTGGTAGTATTTGCTGCAATTTTTGGAGTCTTGTTGGAAGGATCCGTGTTCTTGACCCTTGCAGATGTCGTCGCAAGCGACATAAGCAACACACAGGGCAATCGTTAAAATGACCAATTTACCTAAAAGAGATTTAAGAAGTATTTCAATTAAAGCAATTACTTAATTAATGTTTGTGAAAAATGATTATTGCTTATACGAAGCTTTGTGAACCTTCCATTGAAAATTCACTATTGCTTGGTTTTTAAAAGTCATCGGTACTCTGCTTTATATTATTTGATCATTTATAAAAACGCACAAATTACACAAAATTATCACATTATAATTATATTCACTTAAAAATAAGCAAGGCACTTTCAATATTAAATCCACTTACCAGTCATGATGCTGATTTTGCGAAGAATTTGCACATAAAGTTTCATCCATGTTATTTATACACCAAATTATCAGTTTGATAAGAATTTCATCAGATAAAATTAATAAAATAAAATCACAGATCTAATTAGAGAAATGATTCAATCATCGCGATCATTTTTGAAATTTTTAAGATTTGATTAAATTAAGATGGTTTCTGGTAAGGGGTGCTGTGAAACAAGAAACTTTTTTACTTGAGTCGTAGTTCTATTAGTTGAAAAAAAAATTAATATTCGCAAAAGGTTTTTTAATCATATTAAATAATAACAGAATTATCACATATGAAATATTAAAAAATAATATTTCATTAAGGGAGATGTATTATATGCGATACTATGTATAAAATACGATGTATACTTAATATTGATTGTAAAATCATACTAATAAGATTTCTGTAATTTAAATAAATGTTTTGTTTTATTTGAAAGCTTTCGAATTATCTCTTTATTTTATCTCATATGAATATAATATAAATACAATGACATTTTTCTTGTTGTACTTCATATAATTAATTTCGGCATGAATTGATTATTATAAATACTTTTGATATAGAAATAAAAATAACAAATTTAAATTTTTATATAAAATTTGCGTATCATATAGGACTTTATGTTTAACCTCTAATTTTATTAAATGTTGATTTCTCAATTCCAACATTTGAAACAAATTCGGATTAACTGTTTATGTAATTTTTATTAGATTTACAAACACATAACAAAATATTATATTTTTAATAGTCAATTTATCATTATCGAATAATACAATTTAAATAAATCTAATATAATTGCATTTTTAAGATACATACTTGATTTCAATAAATATTTTATATCATTCTGATCGACAATAATGTGTAATTGAATGATATGATAAAATTGATCAAAATTAAATTAAAAAATTCCGATGTTTTTTTGATATGATGAATAATAAAAAAATCATGCATACATACATATATGGAATGTATTTATAAGCATTATGAACATTTTCATATTTACTCATTTAAATTCATTTTTTATTTCGGACTTGTAGTTGTTTTCCGAAGTTCACTTTATAAGACTTTATCTACGTTTTAAGATATTTTTTAAAACAAGATGTATGTATCGTTTGAAGATTTTTATTATATTAATAATTGAAAAATATTTTTAAACAAAAAAATGTTTTTGCATAACCGACTATAACTTATGATGGTTTTTCTATGGTGTTAAAAGTTTGTATTATTTTATTAAATAATTCGCTGTGTATTCTGTATCACGTGCAGAATGATTTTTAAATGCCTGATTATTGCTATATATTTTCAAATTGACAAATCTGCAGTCAAAATAACATAAATAAATATTTGCGCTGTTTTAAAATTTTGCACTGTCTTTATGTGAATTAAAAATTTGTTTATATGTATATATTTTTATGTAATAATTATTCCTCGTATGAATTTCAATATTTATAGTGAAATTAATTCACTTATTTTATTTTCATTAGATGAAATTCAATACAATTATTTATTGATCTGCATACAAAACTATTATTTATTTTAGGAATTCACCCCGTCTTTCAAGACAGTAATCTCACGACATTTTCTCTCAAAGTTTCCGGGACTTCTAGTTAGAGATAAAATTTATGATAGGTACAATTATTCAATCGATATCTCAATACCTTCAATTACGTTCTCACCCTAGAAATTTTCTACCCTTCAGATATAATTTTGCTTCTTCGATACTAATTCGAAGCTAAAATAGTTAAGAAAATAACGACAAAATGTTAGGAAAAGTATGTCTTTTGCTGAATTGTTTGTTAATAATAATAGCCTTCAAATTTTAATAATGATTTATAAATATAATTTTTTGTGAAATTAAATGGAAAAATTTATGTATTTATTGAATTTAAACTGAAATACAAGAAAATACTTCTACTTTAGAAAAACAAAATCATAAATAATATTAACTATCCAGAAAAACTGCTTGCCTAGTTTTGTTTAATTTATTTGAGTGTAATTATTTTTGTATTGTCCATTTGAGAACGTTTATTTTAAAACCTTATTTAACACTGGCAATCTACACATTATTTTAAGTGTGAACTGATTTGTCGTGAATTAAATTTGATACGCAAAACATTATTTTTATTATTAATCAATATTACTGCAAAATTGTTATTTGAGTTGTATTGATATACTTGCTCAGAAACCAGCATTAGCAAAATTATTTTGAATAATAACTGAAATCATCAAGCCAGTTGCGTAACTATTTGCATTATACCTGAATATTATTTTACTTCTTTTGGAAAATATATTTTATGGTTTAATATATATATATATATATATATATATATTATAGATTTATAAATTATAAATTTTTCTTAAAGTCTAAAGTGAGACTAACAACCATAATACAAGTTCAAGTTAATAATAAATCATTTCAACACATTCTAAACAAAAGGGTTTTGATTCATTTTAGAATACATTTATTGGTTATTATATAATTAATACATAATATATAAGTTATACATTTTGATGGTCCATTTATCTTATTTTACATTTCGATTTTTACGAAAAATAAAACTTTATGTATCGTTTATTCTCTTCGTTTAACCATAACTCAATTGTGAAATAATTTTATCTGTAAATTAATATTTTTCTTGTTTTTTGTACGTTTTGTATAATCTGTTAAAATATGAATTAGTGAAAGTTGTTTTGCTCATTTGTAATATAATACATTAAAAATTGCTTTGGCCAGTAGTGAAATAGCGTGCAATTGAGTGCGTTGAAAAATCTCGAGCTTATTGAAAAAAAACTAAATAAAATAAAAATTGAGTACTGCGATAGGGCCCCATATAAAGAAATATCCACGGGCGCCGGAGGGTCTAGTTACGCCACTGCATCAAGGCAATAATTATTAAAATTTATTCTGCTTTTATTGATTTCTGAACATAACCTGAAATTTCTATAATATATTTTTTAAATAAATAAGACATATTTTCATTTAGTTTATTTTTAAATTAACGAGTCTTATATATTACTGTTATTTACAAGTTCATTTATTATTAATTTACTTCACATCCTGCATTTTCAGGATAGTCGCAAACAAGAGTTGTAGGACTGAAATGCAAACCAGCTGGGCAGTTTTGTTTGATTTGTTTGCCTCCAATGCATTGGTAAAAGCTTCCGCAATCTGTGGGATTTGGGTATAATTTACCTTCTTCTGTGCAGGCTGAAAATTATTTTAATTTCAGTTATGAAAATGACTAATAATATATAATAACACATAATTTTGAAAAAATGAAATTATCTTACCACCGGGTTGTGTTGGCTTAGAAGTAGTTGGTTTAGAGGTAGTTTCTGGTGGATTGGTCTGTGGTGGCTTAGTTCCTGGTTCTGTTGGGACTGGAGCAGATGTTGTTCCTGGGGGTTTGGCACATTCTACATTTTCTGGAAAATCGCACCATTTCATAATATCATTCCACAAGTAATTTCCGTCGCATTTCTTGTGCACAGCGTAGCCTTTAGCGCATAAGTAATATTTTGAACAATCTTGATAGTCGGGAAGAAGCACATTGTCTAATCCTGAGCATACAGAAGGTGGAGGTGGATGAGGATTAAATCTACTGCCACAATCTACATTGTAGGGAAAGTCGCACCATTTGTTTTCATCCTTCCATAAATAGTCTTTCTCGCATTGTTTTAAAATACCAGCGCCGTTGGCGCATTGGTAGTATCGGCTACAGTTTTCCGGATCAGCTACGTAAACGCCATTGGGCTGGTTCTCGCATAAAGCATTGACGTATGCCAGGCAAAGCCAAAGAACTAATAAAACAGCACCTGTAACAAATCATTTATAATGTACTAAAATAATTTTATTCAAAAAGCACAGTATTTAAATCCCATGGTTATATCTCACAATAATTGATGATATCCATATATCTTAAATAACTTACTTTTCATGATAAAACCTATTTCTTGCCACTGACTATAATGACAAATTACAAAATCATTGGCAGTATATAGCTTTTATATGATGTCTGCTTCTGAATTACTTATCTGTTTGCTCATAGCACGATTAAACTCCAGATATAAATCAGTCATTTAATCAAAATCTTCAAAGCACATGCGGAGTAATTATCTTTCAATTTAGAATTTATCACGGATTTGTAATTAGTCGTCACATGTAAAAAATAATTTTATCAGATGAATGATAAATATATTAGCAAATTCGGGTAATTTAATAATCGATTTTAATCATAGTCCTATTATTTGATACCATAACTTATTACAAATCATAAAACCTATTGCATTTTTTGCACAAGATTTTTTATTAACTTATATTAGCTCTTGATTACATTCATCGAATTTTATGCCAAATTTAATTATATCTTCGCCCATTACACTATATGCCCAAGACATGTTTTCTGAGCTGTGATATATTCCAATTTCTCCACAGCGGCTTACAGAAATTGCACCTACCCCAACGTTTAACTTTTTAGTTAATGCATCTATGGCACATTTTGTAGCTTCTTGAGGGCTAATGCGATCATCAGATGGTTGTTGCATTGCCAATATTATACGATGGGCCAAGCAAAACTTTATTATCGATTCACCATGACCTGTTGCAGACACAGCACCAACATTATCATCGGCATAAGTACCTGAACCGATTTGTGCTGTATCACCTACTCTTCCTCGCAATTTACCAATTAAGCCTCCTGTAGACGTTGCTGCAACAACATGGCCAAATTTATCCAATGCAACTGCTCCAACTGTGCCACAATTGTCTTTGTCAATTTCAGATTTAATTTTTTTGTATTTTTCTAATTTGTTTCTTGCATATTCCGTAACTAAGCTGCCATCTGGTAAAAGTTGAAAACCTTCAAGTTCGGCAAATTTTGAAGCCCCTTCGCCAATCAATAATACATGAGAAGATTTTTCCATAACTTTTCTGGCTATTGAAATAGGGTTGGCAAAATTTTTAATACCGCCCACTGCCCC